CTTAATTTAGAAATTAGCGAACCACATAAAGAAAAATAACCTTAGACCAAAATAGTTTAGTTTGTTATTTTCCATTGAGAAAGCATAATCATATTTTGTGTAGCGAAGAAAATCCACAAGCCAATAGTATTGTAGATCTTATTATTAGTCAAGTAGAAAATATAAAATTAGAAAATAATAAGTATAATCATTTGTTAAACCAGTTGTTAGAGCATTTTCAGAAAAATTTAATAAAAACAATTAGACAAAATTTGGATTATATTACATCTCAATTAGAAGATAATAATAAAAATATTCAGAGGTTTCCTAGCAAAAGAGAGATAAAAGAGCTTATTGCTCTCATAGATAGTAAGCCCAAGCAAGTAGAACTTAGATAATTAGAAATATTTGAGCAGTTAAAATTGGAAATTTGAAAAGTTCAATTAGTGGAAAAAGATTTGAGTGAACAAGTAGATAAGTTGCATCAGAAAATAGATAGATTATTAGTTTAATGACCGATTCTAGAACTAATAGAAAATATATTCAAGCATTAAAAAAATTAGTAAGTTAGATAAAGAGCCAGTCGATTTAATAAATTTTTCAACACCAGTAGGTAGTAGTAATATTCTCATTAGACAAAATAATTTAATTATCCAATTAGTTTTAAATTTAGCTGAAAAATTAGATCAAGTTGAAGAACAAGTAGCAGAAATAAACCAAATTTTACATAGCACATCTTCATTACTTCCACCATCTTTGTTAGAAAAATTAGAAAATTTGACTTTAAGTACAAATTATCATATTAGAAGACCTAAAATAAATCTTTTTGATAACAAAAAATGAAAATCTTTAGGAGAAAAGGAAAAGAAATAGTTAGAGTTGAAGATATTTACCCAACTGAAGAGGAAGCACAAGAATTTATTAGAAAAAGATTTGAGAAAACACAGAAAAATAAATATAATTTGTACCAATTAGGTTTATTTGAAAATAAAAGTAAAATTGTAAGTAGCATTAGTCAACATAAAGTTAGTTGTATTGATAGAGAAGTTACACTTAATTTACTTAGTAAATAAACAGTTATCCATTTGAGAAAATCACATTTCAGTCAGATTCACATAGGAACAATATTAATTGGAATAGCAAGATTAACCATAGCATAAGTAGGCACACACGTTTTAGTATACATGTATGATGAAAGATGGGATAATCACCAACAAGCATCAATAGCAACAGCCGAAGTAGACTTAAGTTCAAACTTAGCAGTCATATGATGTATTCCAAATTATGTTATAACAATAAACGGATTTAGTAAATATATTAAAGTAAGCATAAGAACAAAAAATTATAATATGAAAGGAGAGTATAATAATTTGTGTATTAGCTTAATGTATATCGTGTCTGATAAATATAATCATAAGTTTAATTTATACTTTCAAAATTTAGTTCAAACATTTGGTAGTAAACATATAAATATGATAGAAGCAACACTCATAGATAATAACTTTTTAGAATGAACTTAGTGAATATTACCTAATTTACAAGTAATAAGAAATAGATAACTAGATATAGTACAAATATATGAAACTAGTATAGGTAAAGCAACAATTATGTTTAGTGATTACAAGCAACTAGAAAATATAGAAGAGGATGAGAGTGAGATTGAAAATGAGAGTATTCATATGACTCTTGATAATTTAGATATTAATTTAGTTGAGCAAAATTTTGATCATATTGTAGATAAGCTTATAGAAGATATTGATCATTTAGATGAAGAACAATATTTAGAAAAATATAAGACATGATTTAGGACTATATAGAATTTCAGATGAAGAGATGAAAAAAATATTAATCTTAAAAATAGGAGTAGAGAATATTTTAGGATCAAAAGAATATAATAATTTATTAGAATTGAAAGTAGAATGTTATTCAGCAGAAGAAAATAGTACATCAGGAGTAGAAAATCCAAGATGCACAGGTAGAACTGATCAACAATTTTTTAGACCAACAAATGAATAATATAATGAACAAGCAGTAGTAGATTACATAGAAGAAAGTATGATGAAACCACCTAGAAAAAATAGGATTCTATATTTGAGAGGGTTAGAACAAATTAATATAGCAGGTAATATATTAAAAGGAAAACTAATGAAAACGGCTTAAAATTTTTGAGTTTTAATGATAAGGACAAAATAAAAGGTAAAGTGAATAGTACCAGGATTGACTTTTTAATATAAAAATGTGGTTTTTCGTTAAAGTGAATAGTACCGGGAGCTTTTCTTTAAAAGTCTCATTATTAAACTTAGATAATGTAGATCCACAAGATTGAGAGAGAACAATTGAGAAATGGGAAAAAAGTTGCGTACATGCAGCATTAATGTTAGATTTTAGTAATTCACAAAATATGTTATTTTTAGTTATGGAAAGTTCAAAATCCAAAACAGCATCAGGTAGCTAAAACATATTTTAATATTGATGGTTTTGTTACTTTGATTAAATAAGAATTTTTAGAACATAATAGGCTAGATGGAAGAAGTGAACAAGAACAAATAAGAGCAATTAGAAATTTAGAACAATTATAAATTTGTGATTTACAATATAAAGCTGAGTATACAACATATTTCTTTAAATATTTAGGAAGAATATGTAGAATTTGTGATATTAATTTAATAGATACTTATATGACAAAAATAAAAGGACAAATTAGAGAAAAGATTTGGAATGAATGGCTAAAGCATAAAAAAAACGATATTGTAATATGACCTAGAATTCAACATGTATATGATATACTTAGATAAGAGTGTAGCCAAATAAAAGTTAAGAGACATATTAGGAAACAATTTTACATAAGTTGTAAAATATAGATTTATCACAACAATATGGTTTTCATAAGAAAAATAAGCATAAGAAAATATACAAAAAGAAATATAAGTCATATAAACCCTACAAATAACATAAGAATTTCAGCATAAGAAATTCAAGAACATATATGAAGAGAAAATATATTCCAAAACAATTTAGGAAAATAAGTGGTAGATATTGGATTAGAAAATATAAAGCACCAAAAGATAAGAGTAATTGTAAATGCTATTTATGTGGAGAAGTTGAACACATTAGACCTAAATGTCGAAAATTAAGAGAACAACCGAAAGAAAAAAGTACATTTGATGGAGTTGTTTAAGTTAGAAGAAGATGAAGATATTCAGTCAATATATAGTTTAGATGATTTAAGTGATAATGAGAGTATTTATAGTATAGAAAGTATAAATATAATAAATTCAGACTCAGAAGATTCAAGTAGTTCAAATAGTCATTTAGAAGATAATATGTATGCATTCATAGAAGAACAACATGAAAAAGAGTATAAATATATAAATTTAGGTTGGCTAGAAAAATGTCATAAGTGTAGTAAGTTAGTTGCAAATAAATGTTATAATACATATTCAATATTGTGTGAAAAGTGTTGTAGTAATAGGTTATTAGAAATTAATTCAGCCGAATTACAAGAAAGTACTGAAATATTAGGAAATACTGTTTATAGTAAGGAAGAGCCAAAAAATAGTTCTTTAATTACCATAAATTGTGAAATACAAATAGCAAAAGAACACAAAATACAAACAACACCTATGATTGATACATGAAGTACAAAGAGTGTAATAAGAGAAGAGTTAGTTCTAGAAAAATATAGAAAAAAATTAGCAAAACTAGTAAGAATAACACAGTTTGATGAGAGACCAGTTTATTTAACACATTGCATTAATAATGAATCTATTAAAGTAGAATTACAACAATTTAATTTACCATTAACATTTGTTTCACCAGTAGGATCATACCCATTCATTTTAGGTTTAAATTTTTTGAAAAGTTTGCAAGGTTTTTTATTTATGAATTCTAACATAACATTTTTCAAAAAGGCATTACAATAACTAATCAAAGTAATATTGTATAAGCATATAAAAGCATAAGTATAGAATAGTCTAGTGACTAATATAGTCATTATTTAGAAAACTTAAAAGAAAATGATGAGCATAATAATATAGAAGAGTTTGATGAAAAAATATTTGAACATGAATATCCGATTTTAGAAGAACGAACCCATATAGAAATATTACAGTTAGATAGACCAAAGAGTTTTAAAGAATTGTTACAATTAGCAGAACAAACTCGAATTATAGGAGAAGACCCACAATTACATTGGAGTAAAAATAAAATACTAGCAAAAGTAGATATAATTAATCCAGATTTAACCATTAAGACTGTAATACTAAGAAAATTTAAATATATGAATATGCGGAGGAAAATCGAAAATAAATCAATTTAGGGTTATGAAAATTGAATTGAGGAATTTTAAAATTTGTGTTACCGGAAATTATTATAATTTACGTATTTGTATTATTGAGATTTTATATTATTTTCCGAGAATTTATATTAATTTATTTGAATTGAGTTTTAAGTTAAACTCGTTATGAAGTTTGAAGTTTGGAAATTAATTATTTAAAAATTTGTAGACCTTTCGAGGTCACAATTTATATTTTTGAATAGAGCTCGATCTCACGAACACGTGGCCTTAAACCGTTCGTGAAATAGAGTTATATTGAAAAATTATTAACGTTTAAAATAATGACGTTTATGTAATTTTGGCCTTATCTAGAAGACTCCAAATTTTTTGGAGTCTGAGATGTGCCACGTGTGTGGCTAGGATGAAAGGAAAAGAAGAGATGAACGACTATGATGGAAAGGAAATGAGAGAAAAGGTGGGGAGTGGACGAATCAGGATAAGGGAGGAAACGCGAAGGGGGGACCAATCAGAAACAAGAGAAGGGAGGGGAAAGGAGGAAATGGAAGAAGAATGAATCAGATCCGTTTTTCTGACTCGGGTATCTTCATATTTTCCAACGGTTTCTCGTCGGTTTTTTCGGACAATTGCAACCTCCCACCACGTAGAAATAACTCCTTATCAATTCCTCTTCCATTCCACCCAAAACTCGATAGAAATTAGGCTTGGTGTTGTGAAAATCAGTTCGATGGGTTCTGTGGGTGCCAACGACGATCGATCGTTTCTGCATGAACCACCGTCGACCACCACCATGGTTTAACTTCTCTTGAGGCCTGGAACAAAGCCCAAACAACTGTAGGGGCGGCAGAGCACCGGAGGTGACAGATTAAAGCCACCAATTTCTAAGGTTTCCAATGGGTTTGAGGGAAATTGGAGCTTTTCCTGGCCAAATTGGACTTGGTCACATGTATGAAACTTGTTCCAATCATCAAGATCTACATTTCTGTGAAATTTGATAATTTTTTGAATTAGTTGAATTTTTCCAGCAAGCCGGGGCGGCTGACCGCCACCCGCGGCGCTGCGTGGCCAGTGGATTGATGCTGCCATTTTATACAAATTTGGATATTCTAAATACGAATTTGGTACCCATTGGATGTGTTTCAATTATTAGAACTAATGTTGGATATTTCGTTTATTGGGAATATAATCGAAAATGGATTAAGATTAAATGGTGAACTACGAAAGGCTTGATCCCGTTCAAGGGTACGTAGGCAGTCTAAGAGCATGCCCAATGAGGGCTTTATCCTCCATGAGGTTACCATATTTCTAGCATTAGCGAGAAATTTCATCCCCAATGAGTCGGAAAATGGGGCTAAATCCACCACTAGGGCTAGCAATTTCCTTTCTTGGGTGGCATAAAATAGGGCTACATCTAGCCCCAACAAACAATTGGTCCCACAAAAAAAGTAGTAACTCATGTGAGCAAAATTCTATCACTCTTCCTCCACTTGCAAATACACTTATACTCTCCTTTTATTATTTTTTAAATTATTTTTTCTTACTTATTTTTCTTGCAATTTGGCTAATTAATGATTGGTTTAAATTCTTTTTTTCTTACTAATTAACAATTGTACGTGCCGAATAATGCAAAATTGAAGAAAGAAATTCTTGATGAAGCACACGTATCAGCATAGAGTACTAAAATGTATCATACCATTCGACCATTTTATTATTGGCCTGGTATGAAAAGAGAAATTGCTGAATATGTGAGTAGATGTGCAATTTGTCAATAGGTCAAGTCTGAGAGGAAAAAGCCGTTTGGATTAATGCAGCCACTTCCCGTTCCACAGTGGAAATGGGAAGATATTACTATGAATTTTGTGTACAAGCATCCCCGTAAGCGAAAAGGTTATGATGGAATTTGGGTGATCATGGATTGGCTTACTAAATCAACACACTTTATTCCAGTGTGAGAGAAATATTCTTTAAGTTGATTAGCTGAGTTATTTATATCAGAGATTGTTAAATACCACAGGGCTCCAGTTAGTATCATTTCGGATTGGGATCCTAGGTTCACTTCTAAGTTCTGAGTGGCATTTCAGGAAGCTCTTGGTTCAAGATTACTCTATAGTACGACGTATCATCTTCAGACATATGGGCAATCTTAGAGAACTATTTAAATGTTGGAGGATATGCTGAGATCTTCTGTATTGCAGTTTGGCGACGTTTGGCATAAGCATTTAGATTTGATGGAATTTGCCTACAATAACAGCTACCATTCAAGCATTGGTATGTCACCTTTTGAGGCACTCTATGGTAAGTCTTGTCGGACTCTTTTATGCTGGTTAAAGGTTGGTGAAAGAGTTTTGGTTGGACCTGAGATTGTAGATGAGACTACACATAATATTCAAGTAATTAAATCTAACTTGAAAGCGGCCCAGGATCGACAGAAGAGTCTAGCGGATAAACATGCCATGGATACAGTGTATAAAGTTATAGATTGGGTATTTCTGAAGCTATCACCGTGGAAATGGTAGTACGGTTCGGGAAGAAGGGTAAGTTAAGTCCTAGATACATCGGACCGTACCAGATTATTGAATGAGTTGGTGAAGTCGCTTATAGACTTGAGTTGCCTCCTGAATTATCTAAGGTGCAGGATGTTTTTCATGTCTCTATGCTTCGCCATCATGTCTCAGATCCATCACATGTGATACCTCCTCAACCACTGGAAATTAATCCAGATTTGACTTATGACAAGGAGCCGGTGATGATTTTAGATTGGAAGGATAAGGTTCTGAGGAATAAAACTGTGCGCTTAGTGAAATTTTTGTGGAGGAATCATTCGGTGGAGGAAGCCACTTGGGAAACGGAGGATCGTATGAGAGATATGTATCCACGCTTGTTTTATGAATATTAGTGGATTGTTATTTTATTGTATGAAATTTCGGGGACAAAATTGACTTAAGGGGGGTAGGTTGTGACGACCCATCCCGAATTATAATATGTCTTATCCCCGAAAGTGTGGAAAAGATAATTTTACCCTTGAGTGTTAGGTTTTGAAGGTATAAATGGGCTAAGAAAAATGGACCAATTGCATTATTTCCTATACTCTTGGGATCCAATTAAAATTTGTAGGGTTGTTAGGACCAAATTTGGTAGCCCAACTAAAGCTTAAGGATTTTTGTATGGGTGCCCAATCCAGAGCAACACACACACACATGCAACCTTCATCATTTCTCTCTCTCTCTCTCTCTCTCGAGTTTTCCTTGTCCGTACAATCCGTACGTCCAATCTCCATACTAGCTTCATCTCTCACAGATCGACCTAGTAGAGGTTGTTTTTGAGTTCCTTGCAAGCTCAGGAGTCAAGTGATACCCTTAGTTTGGAGGAAGGACCTCGGGAACTTGAGAACCAGTGAGCTCCGACGAGGTGTCTTGTTACTCCGTCGTGATCGCGGGTGTTTCGTGGAGTTTTAACGTCCTAGGGGGTCTTAAAACAACTTTACGAAGTTTTTAAAGAAGTTTTGGAAGGTTTTGGACATCGGGACACTCGATTTCACAGAGTTGTAGACTTAACTGGTTTTTCAAGGATTCTCCAGCCATTTTTCCGTTGGTTTTAGGATGTAAAAGAGGTAAGAACTTGTTTAGAGCTTCATTTTGGTACAAATTTCATGAAATTTGGTTGAGAAATGGTGAAGATATTCAAGTTCAAAGTTTTTCCAGAAACCGGCCAGTACAGCGGCGGTCGACGCCGGAATCCGACGAACCACCGGAGAAGAAGGAGAATATTCCGTCAATTTTGATGAAATATGCTATTATTTAACAGAATATTCCTTAACTCTATTAGGGAATCTGTCAGTGTGCCAGGCACGTGCCTGCGCATGGGTGGCACGTGTGGTCGTGCCTTGGTTGGCACTTGGGAACTTAGAAAATTATTCTAAAAATATGGGGATGTTCGTGGTGTCGAGTAGGCCACGATGGTATATTCGAACACCTCAATTGAGCAACGTATGAGAAGTTATTACATAGTTTTGGTTATGTACTTAAAATAACGTTAAAATAATTGTTTCGCATATAGGTGAGACGTTTCATGAGGACGAGCATAGTGAGGCGAGGCTCGGGGGTTACGACCCTATCACATACCAGTGAGTGGGCTTTTGATTTTCTATATAAGTATATATGCTTTACAATTTTCCTAGAAAGCTTATTTAAATAATTTTATATTTTGAAATGCCATGTCAAATGTTTTATACTTAAAATATGCATTTGGTAGTTATATATGTTATTGTTGACGCTGAGGACACTCAGGTAAGTTCCAGGTGAGTTTATAGATGGTGGATGTGAGTTGCATGGTTATGATTACATTTGATGCATTTAGAGCTCATAAACTTGCACCCCGGTGTTAGTGCTCCCGCCTGTGGCTAGGGCACAGTCCTTCACGTGATGTTCACCTCCCGCACCGCACGCTTACCTTGGATCCAAGTTAGGTGCACAGTCTTGTCGTACAGACCACTATAGGTGGTTCCGACTCATAGGTGACCCACGATTATTGGCACAGTCTTCACGTGATCGTAACACTTGAGCGTATTTATTTACACCTAATCCTGTCGTACAGACCACTCTAGGTGGTTTCGACTCGTGTGCAGGCGTATTTGATGAGCTATAGGTTCAGCCGTACAGGCCACAATAGGTGGATCCGGCTCACATATTACTTTTCATTGATTTACTTCACCTGGTTTACTTATTTCGTTATATTGAAATATTTGGCATGGCATACATGTGGATTTGGCTATTCCAAGTATGGTTTCGATATAGATATGTATTCTATTTTCTGGGAAATTATACAGGTTTTACGGCGAGGGGTTATTACTTTTGATAAGTGAAATGGTTTTGAAAAGCTTTGTTTTTGCCCACTCACACTTTCTATTTTGTGCCCCTCCAGGTTCTAGGTAGGAGCGCTTGTTGGTGGCTTGCGAGGAGTTGACGGCGGTTCTGTCAGACTGAAATTAATGTAGGACCATCCCTCTGGTATTGTATAATTAGTATTGGTCTTGCTGGACTGCACTTAGGTTACCTATGCTTTGGTTATGTGTAATTACACTTAAATCTCGTCACTCGCACCTATATATTTGTCTAGTGTAAATTGATGAACAAGTTTGTAGATATTCATAGGAAAATTTAGTGATGTACAGTCAAGATTACCATTAACAGATTATAAATTTTAGGAATAATTAACTCACTTGAGGCATTTTCTTTATTTTTACATAATGAAGTATTTACGATTAAAACATATTGTCAAAATATAGTTTTTCATTATAATAAGATACATACTAATAAACAGGTAGCCCGAAGATGGATTAATTTTGTTGATTCAATTACAGGAAATGGTTTTAAACCAATTTTTGAACATATAAAATGTAGTGACAATACATTAGCTGATATCTTATCAAGACTAATTTGTTGAATAGGAATGAAATATCGTGGACCATCATCCTCAAATAACACAAGACCACAAGGTAGAAGAGCACCTTTCAATAGCATAATGATGTACCATGGACCTGCACCATTCAATGGATTCCAAAATAGCATAAGCAGACCACCAATACCGACCTTTAACTTTAATGGCATTATTGTTGAAGAAATCAGAAATCCAACTCTGAGGTATATGCCAAGGGTACCAGGACTCACTAATAGGCAACATGTTATCTTAGATAATTTTTGGAATATCCAAATCAAATAGCCAAGCATGAGGTTAGGTCATGAAAACTTAATTAGGGCCTTAGAACAAGAGTTTGATAATTTTAATTTTAATTTCCATCAAAACCAGCATCATATTCATTCTCTTGAACACAACCTTCAAGTCATTTCTAGAGACCATGAGTCATTACTTAGTAAGTTTACCAAAATGAACCAAGAACTTTAATCCCTTAGAATGCAGCAGAAGGCAAGTGACACCTAGAAAAGAGAATTGAAAATATGTTTAGAAACTGATCAACATAAGAATAAAGAAAAGAAGTTATTGAACCCATAGAACAAAAGGCTAATGAGGCCATAGAAGAAATTAAGACTGAGCTCTTAGAAGAAGACATTGAAATGGTGTAGCATCAAAATAATGAGCAGCATCAGTATCTAAGAGCATTCGAAGCAAGAACTTTCTTTCTTTCAATGCTCTAACATCTTCCTTGTGAGTCTCTAATCACAATTCCCACATATCCTTTATTTCTCTTGGGTTTCTAGCTTGCATCAACATTCACTTTTATCATTTGAGAAGTGGGAGGAGACCAGGGTGTCACTTTCCTTTGATTCTCCATTCTCGGGGGTTGTCGGTCACTAATCAAATCCTTAGCTTTTCGGAAAATCGTGCTCGCACAAGTGATAACATGAATGGTTTGAGAAGGAGATGGACTTTGATGATTAATAACAGCTTTACACCATGCTTTCCATATATGCCAACATGTGAAAGCAATTAATGTTATAGATATCTTCCTGTCATCTTTTGTTGCATAGTTCTTTTTCAGCATTTTCACTAACCAAGCATTGATATTTGTTAAAGAACATTTATCAATCTTGTAACCAAGCAGACTCCCAAACCAAACCAGCTCCACCCATGGACACATAAAGAGCATGTGCTCCGCTGTCTCCTCATATTCATTGCAAATTGGACACAATGGTGATGGGGCACACTTCTTCTTGAATAAGTTTGCTTGCGTTGCAATTGCCCCTTTTGCTACTCTCCAAAGAAAGTTTCTAATTTTTGGCTGAGCCTCAAGACTCCAGATACCCTTCCACACTAAAGGGTTAGTTATACAGGAAGAGGATGGGTGCTGATTCTGGAGCCTCATTTTCTTGTTTCGAATCCATCTGTATCCCGACTTCACGAAAAAATTTCCTTTCTTTTCCATTGGCCATATCAGTCTGTCATTGGTTCCAGAATCCCTGACATTTGTGACTAGAATTGCCATGCACTCCTCCTCCGAAATTAAATTTCGAATATAGTCTAAACACCAACTTCTAGTATCCTCTTGAATAATTGATGCCACCGTTGATTTGTATCAACACAAACTCCATTTTAAAGGATTCGGATGTCCATTTGTAATCTCAGGCAACCATTTATCAATCCACAACTTGGTTTGATATCCGCTCATGACCTACCAATGGCTGCCTTCCAGAAGAATCTCCCTACCTTCCAATAAGCTTGACCAAATCGAAGTTGCTTGCCCACCCTTTTTAGCCTCCAAAAACGAGACATGAGGAAAATATCTCTCCTTTAGAACTTTAGCCCAGAGGGTATCAAGTTCATGAATTAATCTCCAACTAGTAGGGCAAGATTGAAGTCCTTTATGTTTCTGCAACACATTCCTCCCTCACCTTTAACATGTCCCTTTGTTTCCCAGCAAACCCGATGTATTTTTCTTTCCTTCTCCTTCTGACCCCACCAAAATTTTGCAAGAGCTACATCAATTTCTTTGCATAGCTTATCAGGAAATTTAAAGACAGACATAAGATGTCATCATTCAGAAAAAAGCCAAACCAAACAGGTGACTTTGAAGTTGAATTTACCTCCCCACTAACAACTTTTTTGTGAAATGTGCGTCTGATTGATTGGACTTTTGTGGTGCTGTAAAGATATATAGTACTATTGAATATGATTATGGTCTGAACTGAAACGGAAAAAGTGGATCTATTTAATATTAGAACTCCTAGCTGTACCATGCGAATTGTGAAGATTAATATTATCAACTTCGATCGCTTTCTAATAATTAAAAAAAATATTGGACCAACAAGAGGTTGAGTTAATAAATTATCTACAAAATTGTTTTCAAAGTATAGATTGTAAAAAATCTATGCCAAATAAAATAGAAACAATAAATTGTGTACCATAAATATTAGAGATGACGAAAATATAGGTGAAAATATT